GCTGCTGCTGCTGGTGGTGGTAGTGAAGCTGGAGGGAGTCGTGGCCGGCAACAAAGGCTCGCGCACCCCTCCTCCTCAGAGCCCCAGCCAGGCTAAGGAAACTCCTGGGCAGCTTCCTCGGGCTCTTGCTCTGCTTGGCGGAAAATCTGATGTGGCCCAGCCTCACCCAGCCTCTGCCTCCAGCGGCCCCCAGGTAAATTGAGTTTGAGACCCCTGGGTTAAGGCATGCCATCAATGAAGTCCTAATCAGTGCTCTCCCTCGTATGAAACACCAAAACCAGAGGCACTTACAGTGTATCTTTAAACTTGCACTAAAATGAGTAAAATAAGCAACTTTCACCAGGCTGCAAAGTGGATACTATTGTAGGAGAACTGACACCTTGAAAGAAGAGCAGCTTTTGGTATTTTTTTCATAAATAACCTTGTGTAGACAATAGCCTACTTCATTCATGACAGTTTACGCCGTAATAAAGCTGTCAATCTTGGAGCACTAGATTTTTACCTACATCTGGTGGAATCCCCTAACATGTTTTCCCATTAGAATTAAACATATATACATACTTTTTAATTTCCACAAATAACAGAACTATGAGCAGGCTTTACAAAGTTAGTTTGCTTACACTGGAACCTGTATGAGTGTCATTTCAGAATGGCATAACCTTTTCCCTGCAGACTGGGACATTTTCTTGTTTATTCAAATTGATTTCTTTCTTGGCTACCCTGTTAGCCATAATTGCAGCCAGCTTTCTAAAAAGGATGGGCCATTTGTTTGAACTGGCAGGTAAAAATAGGGGCCAGAAGTAGTTTAGTCTATCAGCTTTGTCTTCCTAAAATTAACCTTCAAACGAAAGAATATTAGTATTCCCATTTTCACAGGAGACGCTAAGACCGTCTGTAAAGTAAGTCTGTAAAGTAATCCTTTAGAGACGGCAGGCAGAACAAATATAGCACAGCAGGCAGATGGTTACAGAACAAGGCCTTCCCGTGGCAGCCTGCCAACAGAGAGCAGAGATTGACACAGCGCTCTGCTTCCGTTCTCCTAAACTCTCCTTGGGGAATGCTTGGAGAGCGCCTCTTGCCGCCACAGCGCTGGTTTTGCCCCCCAGCTCAATGTTGGCCCTCTGTAAGGTCACAGACTCCTTGTTTATTAGCAATTCTAGGTCAGCCTGCAATGAGAACCTGCTTGCGCAAGAGAAAATTTCACTCTGTATCAATGTCTCCCGGCAGCAGCCATTTCCAAGCTCCCAGAAAATCCAAACGCTGAGGGTCCCTGTCTTTGATGATCCTTCCGAGGACCTGCATAGATATTTTGAGAGCTGCAGTGATGCCATAGAGGGGACAGTCCAGAGCGGCGGGAAGTGTTTAGTATACTGTAAAAACGGTCGCAGCCGATCTGCAGCCCTCTGCATTGCCTACTTGATGAGGTACCAAAACCTCAGCCTGAAGGATGCTTTTGAGGTACTGTGTGAGCATGCTGGGGAAAAATGACAACTACTACCTTATATCGCTCTGTTCTTTATGATTTCAAGAAGGATTTGCCTTTTCAGCTGGTTAAAAAAATACATTAAATTAGATTGTGTTTTATTTTTTAAGATGGAATGCTTGGGCTAAAAAAAGGGATCTCAATTATTCTTTTCTTTCTGCCTTTTTTTGTTTTTTAAAAAATGAACCACTGATGTAAAATCTGAAGTGCTATTTGTCATGACAGTCTTATGAGGGGCACATATGCACACACAGAGACACTCAAGGAGAATTGCAAAACACTGGCCTCTGTGTTTATCTGTTTTATATTTATTGGGAAAATTACTCTCTCCCTTGCCCCCCCCCCACTGCTTCTAATTGTGAGTTTCATAACAGTTCAACTGGAGGGGACCGGACAGCTAAGAGTATGGGTGTGATGGATGGTGTTGCCTTCCCTGCCAATCAGAAGACCCTGTGATACTTTGAAACCTAGCTCCACTATGACACTGAAACCAGAATAAGGCAGAGAAAGACAATTTGACTGTCCAGGCAGCCTGACCTAGATCTCAGAAGCAAATAAGGCAAACTCAAACTGTGTTTTGTTGTTGGATTTATTTATTTTTTAGAAAATGCTTCTTCAGCTAAATTCCTATGGGTTACCACACTAATGGCATGCAAATTGTAAAGTATCAACTTGAGAAGCCAATAACATCCATTAAAAAATTGGACTGCTTTTCCCAGCTTTATTACTGTTTCCTCAGTGACTGTGTTTTATTAATAATATCTAGATATTTCGTAAATAGTGTGCGGTGTTTCCAATTCTTATTATCAACCTACTCTTTGAAGAGATAGTCACATTACTTTCACCTAAAAGTTATATTTCTGGGTGGAGGATGCATTATGATTTCCCCTCTTCCTCAAATTCCAAAATGGCTATGGGTCGGGTGTCCACTTAACTCAGCTATTCCTTCTGCTATTCAGGGGTTGGACCTGTTTAGCTTCAGAAATTACTTACCCAGAAGCAACCATGGGATTTTAAAAATTTACATATTCCAGCAAAAGGGAAGGGAGGACAGTCACACTCTGAAACGGCTTTTGCTTTTAAAAATGTGTGATATATCTATAACACAGATTTCTAGTGAATTTCTTTCATGGTCGACTCCAATTTTTAAAAAAATTAAGAAAAGGATATGTCGTCCTTAAAATGACACAAATGGAAGAGCAGATTTCAGTAAGTCAAGGGGTAGCGAAAGACCAAAGAGTGAGACTTAAGCCCACTCAGCCCAGGACCTTTCAGAGAGCTTGTTTCAAACCTGGGAAGTAACGGGATCACAGGAAATATCTGTAGTGGTCAGCCTCTGCCCCTTTTCTCAGAGTATTTTCTGATTATTATATCCTTCTAGCTCAAGAGGTGGGCAACTTGTAGCTCTCTGGATGTTACTGGTCTATGACTCCCGTCAGCCCTCACCATCGTGCTGCATACAGTGGGTGGGTGCACTGCTTCTAGATGTAGAATCAGCGTTTAATCTCATTAAGCCCTTACATTCAAAGGTCTGCTGCTTCAGATACCGGATGGGACACATAGCCAACTTGGGTGCACTGCTTCTAGATGTGGAATCAGTGTTTAATCTTATCTCTTACATTCAAAGGCCTGCTGCCTCAGATACTGGATGGGACACATAGCCAACCTATCTTGTAGTTAGCCACTGATGTCCATAACCTCCAGGAATTGTTCTATTCCCTTTTTAAAGCTGTCAAGGTTGGCATCTATCCCAGTGCCCTGTGATGGTGAATCTCACAGCTTAACTGTGCAGCTTATCTATCCTGAACGTCCCACCACTCAGCTTCCCTAAACAACCCTGAGTTCCAGTACAGCAACAGTCTATCCACTATTTCTGCTCCATCAATACCTCCCTTTACTCAAATATCATTATGTTCCCTCCTGGAGGTGTTGCTCCACCCTCCCAGTCATTTCAGTTTCTCTTTTCTGCGTCTCCTCTAGCTCTACAAAATCTTTTTAAAGTTTATATATGAACCTGAAAACTCCTGCATGCAAAATAGCATTAACAATGACCCCTTTTCATAACAAAGGGTAGGTTATTTTATTTTTTTCAAAATGCAGGGGAGCGAAATTACTCCTCTGTTGTGTATGATACAATGTCCATTTTTATTCCCTTCCCTTGCAGATTGTCAAGATGGCCAGGCCAGTAATAGATCCCAATCCAGGATTTTGGTCTCAGCTACAGAAATATGAAGAACATTTGAAAAGGAAGCATCTGGAGGATCCTTCTCAAAAAGGAACTTCGCAATAAACTTGGGTTCAGAATCTAGTTTGGAGATGCTCTTCCAAAGATCTGGATGCCTTGGAAAGGCTGTCACGAGTTAGTAGGCTTTATCATGACGTGCTTAGATGCCCCAGGAAGTATTTATGTGGCTACCATAGTCCTACAGGTTCCCTGAAGTTTCTGTCCTTGGAAAGAGAGTCATTTTATGCTGCAAATAACATATTGCAGATACAGAATGAACCACCATGTTTTCTTGAACATGATGAAAACAGTCTGAGGGGATACCAAGGCCAGTCTTTGAAGACTGAGGTACAAAGTCAGGAATGTAATTTACTGTACTAATTCAGGGAAGACTGGGAGGAAAAACTGTTTAAAATAGGTCTTTAAATTGATACTATGACATGTTCTTAAATCGTCAAGAATTATGTGTTTCAAGGGCATGCAGACATTAATGTGACATTAAACTAGAAGTAAATAAACATATCTGCTTTTCTTCAAATCATGCCTTATAATAGCAGATTCAAAATATCTGATCAATAAAGGACTGGCATGCACAAAGCTGTTTAGAATGGTGTGAACATTAAACTAGAAGTAAATAAACATATCTTCTTTTCTTCAAATCATGCATTATAATAGCAGATTCAAAATGATCAATAAAGGACTGGCGTGCACAAAGCTGTTTAGAATGGTGTGGAAATGTGCTAATTTATTTCAGTATATATATATTCCTTTTTCCTTTTTTTCTTTTTTTGCTACTTCTCTATCTACATGCACCATGGAAACCTTGGTCTTCCAGATGTTGCCAGGCCACAGCTTAAAAAGTTGCTTTATTGGATTAAAACTCTCAGAACTATGGCCACTGGATGAAAATGGATGTTGCAAAGTACTGTAATTATTGCAAACTCTGTGTCAGACTACATCGTCATCCCTGACTATTGGCCATGCTAGTGGGAACTGATAGGAGCTGCATTCCAGCATTATTTGGCGGGCCCCAGGTTCCCCATTCCAGCTGGACAATCATATCATGGGATAACTCTGTGAGCCGGCTCTGGAGCCAGAGGTTGGGACCACAATTCCCCACTGTGTCACCTGGAAGAAAAGCCAGCCTATATAGCCTTGTGTAAGCTGCACGGGCCCTTTGCTTACCCCCAAGGGGAATGGTAAACCACTTCTGAATACTCTGTACCTAGGAAGCCCTGGCAAGGATTGCTGTAAGTTGGAATTGACTTGACAGTTATTAACGAAGAGCACTTTACTCATGAGTGGGCATATTGTCTCCAAAATAACAATGTTTTTCTTACAAGACTTTCTTTATGAACTGTCTCTGCCGGCTGGTTTTTAAAACAAAAAGCTCATTAACCAAACGGATGGCACCATCTTTGACTAGAGAATCTGGCACCTTCGAGCCTGCTTAGTTTCTTGCACGTTTGCTATCTTCCCCATTCATCCTCCCTCACCTCCTGTTGCTTCCTCTCACAAAAGGAAGCATTTCTATCATTTTTCTGCTCAAAATTACACATTCCTCCCGAAGCTGATTTCATTTCTTTTAAAGGGTCTTCCAGGGCTTTTTTGTGTAACATGTAAATTGGCCCTCAGCTCTGGGTGATGTGGATCTAGATGTTCAGTGGGAAATCCCAGCCGTGAAAGCCTTCACGAAAACATGTAAATTGTCCCTCAGCTCTGGGTGATGTGGATATAGATGTTCAGTGAGAAGAAAAGCAGTAACATGGGAAGCAACAAAAAAGCAAACTTGTTGAGAATAGCCAGGCAATAAAGATTTTATTTTCCATGTATTATATATTCACAGGCAGCTGCTATAAACATGTAACAAAGGTTCTTGCACAACGTTCCCAGAGCCTGAAAAATTTACTTTTTTTGAACTAGTTTTCAGTCTCCCCAAGATGAGGGGCCATGCTGGCTTATGGAGTCTGGATATTGCTCTTTTTTGCAAGCTCTGAACATTCTTGACCACTGAGAGCTCTGTGATAATCTGCAAACTAAAAAGTCCACAGTACAAATCTCACTCATGCCAAAGTCTCCATACGAGTCCTTAAGCAAACCTCACTTCCCCTCCCCCATCAGCAATATAGGGATTAATATGAAGGTTACTGAGACAATATTTGCACAAGGCGCCTTGAACATCCTAAGGTTGCAGTTCTGTGCTGATTTATCTGGGACTAAACCCCACTGAACTCTTTGGAACTTACTTCTAAACATGCACAGAACTGTACTGCTAAGCAATTCATATATGCTATCATTGTCGTAGCCCTTTCAAGAAGCCCATCAGAATTGGTCAGATTTTATATGTTCATCCTCAAAGACCGCTTGCAAAGGCACAGTTATATATTAGTCCCCCTGGAAAGTTCTAAGCAAGTTTATTCCAGAAAGGTACCTCTGTTAACAACATTCCAACGCAATAAGGAACTACATATTCAACTAACTGGAAAGAAAGGAAAAGGAGGAATCACCCCTTTTATTTTTGGGGATCTGTCCAGAACTGTAACTAGTCATTCTGGCACCCACGGCAAGTGATACTGTCTCCCACCAATTCTGTTCTAAGGCACCACCAAGAAAAAGGAGGAGGAGAATGTAGTGAGCTCTCCTAGTAAAACAAAAAGTCTTCCAAAGAAAAAAGAAAAAGAAAAAAGGTGGAGGAGTGAGCAAATCTCCGCACCATTGTAGTTTATTGTTTTCATAACATTCACCAGCAGACCTACCTCTAGATCTTGGTGCTGTCTAAATTTTGGCAGCCTGGGGCAAGAGTTCCAGTCCTAGTTATAGCCCTGAATATGCCACATATAGTTACAAGTTCTTTCCTTGCCTTTTTTCATAACCGGATGCTCACAGAGCTATTTTCCTTGACACTGTGCTCTAGACTCTTCCACAAAGGAAAGCTGACACATGCCATAACATTCAGTATCAAGATGAAACATGTCTGCCTGTAATAAAACAGGGGATAGAAGGGAGGTTTTGTAATGAGATGGCGAAGGTAGAACAGAAATGCATCTAAACATAATCTTTGGCAGATGTGATTGTCTCGGGTTGTTTGGTGTAAATACGGCGTTCACCGGCACGATAGTCATCCTGGTCTCTGTAATTAAAAAGAAATGTCAATATGCTACAGCAGTCTTTCTCTGTGTGTGGTTTACATATTACTCAGAATTTAAATGCAATGCAAAATCCTTCCTTGGTCTGTAAAGATCGATAAGAAACAAATGAAGAGACTTTCCTATAGTAAGTGGGATTTTCTGAGTTGATCATGAGCACCACTGCATGTGCAGTGCCTCCAGCTGGATTAAGACACAGGAAAAGCTTTGGCAAAGTCCTTTTTTGGACAACCGCACCAATAGCTCAGCAGTTTAGATACAGTATCTGCTTGTGGAGCCAGAGGTTGGGAGTTCGATTCCCCACTGTGCCTCCTTGACAGGGGGCTGGACGCAATGATCCTGTAGTCCTAAGATTATTATTACAGTATTCAATGTGCAGGGTTGGCAATTCTGGGAGATGCAGTCGTAAAAAATTTCCAGCCTCTGTGCATAATCAATATGGAAACAGGCTTCCATGTACAAAGCTGATTCCTTAAAGGAAGCTACAAGTTTGAGTTAGAGATATATAATATATTGTGTAGATGAGTTCTCTTCTCTGAACAGCTGTAAATATCCACAGAGAGCCCTTTCCAAAGGTTTAAAAGGCAGTGTAGTGTTCGAATTCCCCAAATGGAGGGTAAAAACCAGGCTACAGATCCAAAAAGCTCACCAGACAACTTGAGACCAAACACTATCTCTCAGCCTAACTTATCTCACAGGATTGTTCTGAGGATAAATGGCGATAATTCTCATCCAAGCTGATTCAGAATCTTCGACGGAAAGATAGGATGTAAATGTGAGAAATAAATAAAGCATGGGTTAATTATTTTGAAGTTCAGGTGGCTAACATGTACCTCAGTTGCTTGGCAGAATAGTAACCTTTTTGGAAGGCCCTGATACTCAGTTCTATGTTAGTTCCTTTGGTTTTGGACATACATTTCTAAATTTACGCCCACGATTATTTACGTATATGCTTAAAAGTGTAAAATATGAGAAACAGGGCTTTGAAGGCAGGTATAGCATACAGGTACATTTATCAGAGTGTCAACACTGGATTGCCATCAGTTGAAAGTAACTTGAGGGCACGTAACAAGGCTGGCTACAGTCTATCTCTCTGGCAAGCTGAATATATTTCTTGGTATGTTGTGGTGTTTCTGCATAATATGTGGAAGAAACCTGAATCTCCTGAAAAAAAAGAAACCAATGGTTTGAACCTTTCCAAGTGAAATATTAAGACTGATCAGCTTGAGGCATGCTATCAGAGAAGTTACAATCCAGTTCTATCCATATGCACTTAGACATCCACCTACTGACTTCAGTGAATTGTATGTCTTGCATATGTTACATATTTTCAAAATGCTTAAAACGTGATGTAAAAGGACATACATATGATTTGTTAACAGACAAATAATGCACCTAGTACCACAAAACAGCGCCTGGCTAGCACAACGAAGCTTGATATGTCTCATTTACACCTTTTGTTCTTTAAAATTATGGTTACACTACCTGTGTTTTCTTTTGCATGCAGAACATGTCAGGAAGCTCCCACCAAGTATAGAAAGGAGGGAACCGGCCCAGCCAAGGTACAAGGCATATCCTAGTTCATATCTGGCATAAAGAAGATTTAAAAGAAACATCATAGAATTCATTTGGGGCCAAATTTGTCTGGGAATATATTTGTAAGCATATACCTAGGAGTACCTAAGCTTACACTGGAAAATGTAAAATAAATGACTCAATAAAGGAAGCAACAGCTTGACTTTGCAAGACCTGAGCAGGCTGCTAACATGAGGATCATTAATTCAGAGGGTTGCCATAGGTCGGAATGACTTGAAAACAAGTGATAACATCATCATACAGTCGAATCAGATACTTCTTTTGCCATTTACTACAGCTATCTAGGCTATTGCCTGGACATCAGAAAGATGTTCTGTATAATGTGCAGACAGGTAAAGTATATGAGATAAATGTAGGATTCTATACAATCCCTCTTTTTCCATAGGTGTCAGGGTTGAATTAAGCTGTATAGAAAGCTCTTACATGTTAGATACCATCTGATTAAAATTTTATGAGCTTTTTTTGGTCTCCCATAGCTCAAGGTTGACTCAGCCTTCTATCCTTCCGAGGTCAGTAAAATGAGTACCCAGCTTGCTGGGGGGGGGGGGCAATGTGCAGCCAGCATAATTAACTTGTAAACCACCCAGAGAGTGCTTGAAACACTATGGGGTGGAAACTTTGCTTTGTTTTTGTTATGTGATTGGCAAACAGGAGTGGGGGTGAAACCATGAATTCTCTTCTAATGATATGCTAACTAAAGCATCTGATTCAGCCTTCAGGAGAAGCAGAGGTCATACTTCAAGCATATCTAAAAGAGGTAGGTCAGGAACTAAAAAAACAGGAAGCAGCAGAGTGCTACTGATGTCAAAATGCAGCTCAATTGTTAATGGTGTCCATATTTGTGAAGAGAAGTAAGTGCACCAGGATAAAGAAGAAGCTAAATAGTTTCATTTCTGTCTAATTTAAAATTGACAACATGGTAATATTATTGCCATATTTCATGTAGGAATATCTGAATGTTCTCAAAGTGAGAGAAAAGGATTAAGGTTAATGCTGTTTTGCAAATCCCTGCAAGGACAGGATGATTGAGTAAATGGTCATGGTAAAATAATCCGTATATATTCTTCATTAATTATTTAATCAACATAAGGAATTTAGGGAAGTCTTCTTAAATTATAAGAGGAAAGTACAAGTAAGGGAGGTACCCTATTGTATTGACAAGAAGACTGAGCAATTAAGCCTAGCTAATAATGAGGAAACTGTATGGGTCAGTAAGAATGACCGTAAGAAGGTTAAGGAAAGGGGAACATGTACCAAATAAGGAGAAAAATAAATAGGAGTTTGAGGTCTAGTTAATATGGGGAATGGGAGATGTAAACAGGGGTGGGACTTCACATGATTGGTTTAGGCGTACTGGATAGGCTGTACACCTTAGAGCAGTGGTCCCCAACCTTGGGCCTCCAGATGTTCTTGGACTTCAACTCCCAGAAATCCTGGCCAGAAGAGGTGGTGGTGAAGGCTTCTGGGACTTGCAGTCCAAGAACATCTGGAGGCCCAAGGTTGGGGACCACTGCCTTAGAGTATCTACCAATGGGGAAACAAGGGAGGGACCATTCAGCTGGGAATAGGGAATAAATATCATGGTACCTGTATTGATGGGTGTGCTTATCTAGTTAGGACACCTGCTTTTGCAAAAGTGCTTTTTAATGAAGGACAGCTGCTTGAATTTGTGGTTGTCTGGTTACTGTATTAAGTAACAAGGATGTGAGCATTTCTCACAAACGGGCCCCTGATCTACAGATTCCTTATGAGTGACTTGGACATACACACCTGACAAGGAAATTGATTGTAATCTCAGAAGAAATTGTACCTTGTTTAATTTTTAACTAATTATTTGTTCCTGGATACTCTTTAGTATTTTGATTTAAAAGTTCAAAATGAATGCTTTTCTTCTTTAAAGATTTATTTAGCAAACAAGCAATTAAATAAATAAGAGCCAAGCATCTAAAATATACTTGGAATATATAAATAAACTACATGAGTGTATATTGCAAAAATCACAGTTCTCTAACACAAAACTTTCTAGCTCCTCTATGTAGATAGTATTTCTTCTATATAAAAAAGAATGGTGATTCTAATAAAGCATAAGCGTCTGTTTAAATAGCATAAAACTTAAGTTTAGTACTTCAAAGTATACTAGGAATTAAAAAACTATTTCCCTTTAGTAAAAGGCTATTTTCTTAGGAAAAAGCTATCAATTAGATAAAACTCTCATACAGTCACTTAAAAATCTCTACTGCAATACATATTATTAAAAACAATTTGAGCATAGTAAGCATAGTAAAGTTGGGACGTGGTGGTGCTCCGGATTAAACTGAAGAAGCCTCTTTGCTGCAAGGTCGGAAGACCAGCAGTTGTAAGATCGAATCCATGCGACAGTGAGCGCTCCCATCGCTTGTCCAAGCTCCTGCCAAACTAGCAGTTTGAAAGCATATAAAAATGTGAATAGATAAATAGGTACCACCACGGTGGGAAGGTAACAGCGTTCTGTGTCTAGTCGCACTGGCCATGTGACCATGGAAACTGTCTACGGACAAACGCTGGCTCTGTGGCTTGGAAACGGGGATGCACACCGCCCCCTAGAGTCAGACACGACTGGACTAAATACCTTTACCTAAGCATGTAAATACAGTAATTCACATCACATTAAGATAATTCTCACCCAATTTCCATAAAAGATTTCTCCCCAGTTTGCAAAAACAGGTGTCTGTATCCCTTGGGAGATGTTCCGTGAATATGACAGCAATCTCTGTTTATATACATTTGATGTTTTGGTTTAGTTAAAACACTGTGACGTAGAACTTTAGTGTTCCTGTGCACAAGCAATGTTCTTGAGTAGCGATACTACGATATCAACCAGCTAGGTCAGCTGAACTATAAGGTAGCCCCCATGTTTGGAGTAACTTCCTTACCACCATATTTTGACAGTACAATACATTTTGAATGTCAATTACACGATATATACAAGCTCTTTATTTTCTCCTGCCATATATTTTTTCTGAAACCTATTATAGACATTATTTAACATCTTCAGATTATACATTATCTACCCTCAATATCTATTTGCGTATTGAAAATGCCAAGATGAACTAAAAATGCACAGAGTTCAGTTAACTTACTTGGTTCCACCATAAAATGAATCAAAAAACTGAGCTGTGATCCTTGCTGCATACCATGAAACAGCAACCATTGATGACAGACCTGAAGAAACAATAGAGATTAATAGAGGCATTGATAGCCTTGTCTTACCAAAAATAAATGTAAGGTATATTCATGCCTGTATATATAGCTGGGTTGTCCTGACTAATAAAGCTACAGTTAATTAGTCATGAGTTTTAGGAAAGTAGTTGATACACTCTGCAGGATGCCACATGGGAGAAAGGTGGACTACAGTGGGACCCTCAACTTACAGAATTAACCTACAGTGGACCCTCGATTTACAGAATTAACCCATATTGGAACAGTGGCTGCAGATCAAGGGTCAAGGCTCCATTGACCTACAATGCATTGAAAACCGGTTAATTCGTAACCGGCCGTTTTTGTTCCATTTTGGTTTTTTTCCCCGGTCTGTAGGTCGATTCTCCGGCTGCAAGTTGAACCTAAATTTTGTGGCCAGAGAAGTCTGTAACTCGAAAAGTCTGTACAGTACTGTAAGTAGAGCCGTCTGCAAGTCAAGTGTCCACTGTAAATTAAAGTGCATTTTTGCCCTCAGTGATCACCACCCTATGTTTCTATGGATGCCTATATCATTTAAAACAGTTTGTCTGCAAATTACTTTCATAGACTTGAAATACTATTTTAAAATCTCTGGATGGAAGAAACCATGCCAAATGAATTTTGTGTGTATTATTATTTTTATTTTTTATCTTCATCCGCTTTAATTTAACTGAAATTTTACTGAAAGGCAGCTTTAAAAATATTTCAAACATGAACAGGGAATTAAACAAAGTAGGATTTGCTATCCAAATTCACTCATACTTAGAACTTTATTTCACCTGAGTCCTGATAAATCCAATAGGCCGAAGAAAGTGGGCATAGGACTGTATCTGATTGGGAAATTGGGGCATGGATAGAGTCATTGATAAGAGAAACATTAACTAGCATTCTGGCTAGAACTTGGACTTAACTCTAGATATTCTGTGCCAGAACTGGGAGATGCTATTTCAAAATTACAGAGTTTCCATAGATTTGCATACTAAATAGAGCATTATGAAGTACGTATATATATTTGCTTATCACCTGAGAACATCAGTAACATCCAGCATGTCTTCTTGAAAACTTTGTTAGAATGAAGCAAGAATATTATGATCCTGAAGTATATAAGAAGGTTCTCTCTTGAGGAAGCGACTGCTTGGGATCTCCATAAATCCAGGGGAGTTAAAGGTTAAATTTTCTGACTCTTCCAAGTTATCATATTAAGGTAAAAGTTATGTATAGCTCATTATTAGACCTGAAAGCAAGTTAGTATTGGAAAGGTTGATTCATGTTTGAGACCTTCATGTTTGAGAAATCAGATAACAAATGAATCCCATGCTCAAGACTTGAATACCAACAAGTGAACAAAAGCAAGTAAACTTGGAAATTCCAAGGTGGGAAAAGCTTCTGCTTAGTTAGCATCCACTCAGATGTTTTAAAACTTAGTCTGGAAGGCTACATCTCTGACCTTCCATTTGAGCTTATAATTGTATAATCCAACTGGCTTCATAACAAGCCAACATGGCTAAAATTTATCAATATGTGGAAAGAAACATTCCTTTTTTTTTGTAAACAAGGGGTTTAGGTTACCTTTAGTTCTTTGGCTCTGCAACCATCTCTTGGGACACTTCAGTTTCCTGCACTAATTGTAATGTGGCCAATAGTGTTCTTTAATTTGTGAGAAGCTATTGCATTAATCCGTTCTTGCTTTATTGTTAGGATTGAACTAGATGGCTTTGGGTTCCTTCCATCCCTCTGGTTTCACTGTACGTATTTATTTTTGCTATACGGTTCACTGATATCTCACCTCCTAAAATGAAGATCACTCCACCTATCATGGCAATCCTTGTTTTCATCTTTTTGCTACTGGACCCAAGTTGAGTGCATTTTAGGCCAAGCAAGGTCAGCAGAGTACCACACACACCCAAGATGAGAGAAGTGATCATCAGGGCTCGGCATGCTTGAATATATGCTGCAAGGGAAAGCAATTGACGAAAGTGTCTGGGTCAGTACAACAGAAGTAAAAGAGTGAAAGCTATCCACTGATCAATTGCTTGGCTAGGAGCAAGGATGGACAAATTATACATTGCTTTGAACATCTGTCTTAACAAAACCCAGTATGTCAATGCTAATTGTTGCAATTATGAGAGTAATTGTCCTCAGCTAGCACTGTGACAATGCCTACCTGACGATTATCTGAAAATTCCATTATTAAAAACCATAAATAGGACTGAACAAAACAAAAGGATTCCTTTCTTTACTGCATTCAGTTCTTATTTGTGATCTATAGTATCTCCCCAAGTTTTTTAGATCCCAATATTTGTGTTGTTCTCTTCAGATTTTCGTTGGGACTCATTTCATGTATCATGTTAATCTTTTTCAATAGCATTACCATCCATAAAACACAATGCACTGCTCTATTATGGTCAGAGCTTCCCCTCTCACTTTTGATAGTTTTTTTCCCTTGTTTCCAGCTGAAAAATTGGTTTATTTTCTTTGGTGCGGGATAGGGAGGTTTGGAAATTTGTACTATGACACTTTCAGTGGGAAATCATTTCCACATCAAAGGTTTCCAATCAGAAGTTTTTAAGTGTGTGTGTGTGTGTGGGGGAAGCTTTAGATGTGAAACTTGACCAATGATTTCGAAAACGTTGACAGGTTTGTTCTAGACAAAAGTGATTTTTTTAAAAATATGCCTTCTGTGGTGCATTGCATATGCAACTTCTATGAAAACTCAGTAAGGACTGTAACTAACTGTGATGAGCTAGTGTGAAGTTTTGATTGTCTGGATAAGTCCCGATTAACCTTTTATATGGGAGAAATCTTTACCCTACAATACCTTTAGGAACCATACAGGGGAAGCATCACTGTTTCCCCTGCTTTAGGGAATGCCATTGCTTTTTTGAGACATCAGTAGCCATTACTCCAAATCACCATTTTCATTTCACATGTGTCTGCTTGCCTAAAAAAACCTCTTAGGAAATGAGCAAAGGAGCCAGGATTTAGAGGAAGCAAAGAGTCACAGAATAGGGGCAAAATGAGGTGAGCAATAACCAGAGGAGCTTCTCAGTATGTCAATAAACCCTCAACATTTGGTGATCAACTATCATGACAGGTTGATTTAATTTTAGAAACCTTTCCTTCCTTTCCTTATTGGCTTTGCAAAGTCTCTCTAACTTTATTCCATCTGGTTCACAGTACAGTACTAACTCGACAATTATCAACAAGAAGTTAAAGAAGTTAAACTGGATTAAAAAGTGGAATCACCTTAAGAGAAATGCCATCCCCACCCTCCAGTATTCAGAAAGTAATTTATTGAGCTACAGTACAAATTACTAACAGTTGGACCAAAGAATTATTTTGTCAAATGGCAAGGACAGGTGACAAACAAATCAATATAAGCCACATGATTTCTGTTTATATAACTGTTTCTTTATCATGAGTTTTTTTTTATTACCTAGCCTTATCACCTTCTATTTCAATTAGTGAGTTGTTCCAGAATGCTTCCTTGGTTCTGTGGTTTCCAGCTTTCTAACATCAGATGCATGTCACACTGGAAGTCACCTTACAAAAGTGAGACAATTTTGTGGTCTGCCCTGACAATGGCTCCTCAGGGTCCCAGTTGCAACTCACTTAGAGGTTATGCTATGAAGACTAAATAATATATCTTACTTATAAGTCTCAGGCCAATCAGGTAGCTGCAGAAGGCTGTAAAGTGAAGGCAGAGACAAATAGCACCCTCACAATTAATAATATACAGTATTTGCATGCCATTAAGTCAATTCTGACATCTGGAAATCCTTTCCAATTTTTTTCTAGGGAGAAGTACACAGAGATAGTTTACCATTCTATTCTTCTGTGTATACTAGGGCATTGCAGCTTGTGGAAAGCTACACAGGCTGGCTCTTCAGGGATGCACAGTGGTGAAATGAATTCCCAGCCAGCCAGATACTTAACTTACTGAGCTATCCAGGCTGTTTAATAATTGTGTCCTGTCAAGTCAATTCTGACTTATGGTGACGCTTTCCCAAGTTTTCTAGGTAGAGAGTACTCAGAAATCCTTTTTTCTGAGAACATCCTGGGACTGTGCAGCTTGCCCAAGATCACATAGGCTGGCTCTTATGGGATGCACAGTGGGGAACTCAACTCCCAACCACTGGCTGTGGAGCCAGATACCTAACTACAGACCTGTCCAATTAGCTACCTTCAGAATCTGAGGGTGCTAAAGTATTATTCCTCCAAAGGCTCATTCTTCAAACATCTGCTTGCACAATCAACATGTAAATGAAGTCTGTTGTTTACATTCCATGACCAATCATCAAACAAGGCAAAACAAGTTGCAACGTACAGAATTGTGAAACCCCAGTGCAGGATAATTATATGTCATTTACTTTTTAAAGTAGCTCCACTTTTCATTATGTAGCTGCCTTGAGAAGTCAACAGGGTTGTCAAGGAGAATTTCGAGCCCACAGAAACTCCCACCTTTGCCATAAGGGGAAGGAAGGGACATACGTAGCTTCTGAATTGCCAGAGATAAGGGCTGTGCAATATAGACAATGTTATCTGCTGTCATGAAATAAGGAAACAAATAAGTATAAAGCTTCTGGGCTCAAGGGAAACCTGTCTGCAAATACAAGGAGTTCAAAGCTGATCCAGAAAGATCTGGAAGGCTCCTGCATGCCTTATTTTTAAAAATAAATTGATTTATTTTCCTGTTATTGCACTGCCAATAAACTGACCATGCAGGAGACATGTGGGCTGTACATTGCTCAGCACTTCTGAAGGTCCTTCTATTTCACCCTTTGGAAACTTAAGCTCTTTGGGGAAATGTGGTTGATTGTGTTGGTTGGCCAACTTCAGGGCAAACCTATGCAATGGCACTGGAGCCAAAAGAACAACCTCACTCAATATATTTCAACTTAAACCCTTCAATGGAAGGATTTTTTTTTCTCCGCTGATACCTTCCGAGAGGAAATTGAGATCTTAAGGAACATGAAATATGAAATTCAGTTTCTGTACTCTTCCACGTGTTGGTGGGGTTACAGAAACTTAACCTTCCAGAGAAGAGGTTAGCCTGTAAATAGACCAATTCATGTCCCCACTTTATCTCCTGTTCCTGGATACTTCAAAGAAAGGACATCTCACCACATGTTGCCGATGCTCTTCAAAGACAGGACACTGAAAAAGAACTGTAAGCTTATCTTTTGTGTATCACATTCTGGTACATACTTTCTTGGGCATAATAATGATACAGCTTATATATTTATTTATTTTATTTATTTATTGGACTTATATACCGCCCCATAGCGCTACAAGCACTCTCCGGGCGGTTTACAATTTAATTATACAGGCTACACATTGCCCCCCCAGCAAGCTGGGTACTCATTTTACCGACCTCGGAAGGATGGAAGGCTGAGTCAACCTTGAGCCGGCTACCTGGGATTTGAACCCCAGGTCGTGAGCACAGTTTTAGCTGCAGTACAGCGTTTTAACCACTGCGCCACGAGGCTCATGTCTGAGGTAATAAACTCTAGATTTCATTTTGGCTGCTCTGGACACAGTTCACCAGCTATTTGTGTTGTGGCAATTTTAGTACTGGGTTTGTTCTCACAGTGAAGGCAGAGTCACACAAGAAAGTGAGGTGATACGAAACCAAACAGTTCATTTCACTAGTGAAAGGTACCTAAATCAAAGACAAAGTACTTTGCACAGTTTTTGTTCTTTTTCTTACCAATAACAGAGGAAATGGTTTAAAATTATCAATCAACAAGCAGCTTTTCAAACATTTATTTACCATGAGGTTATGCTGATTTCAGTCATGTAGTCAGGAAACAAGTTAATGCTTAACTGCACAGATCAGTAAGTATTATTTACTAAGCATGTCCAAGCGAACTTTTGGCCTGGCAGTCTAAGAACTCTAACATTAAATGACAGTAGTGTAGGCCCCATTGAATCAATGGGGATTTAACAAGTCAATTCTTTCATGAGCATCATTGATTCAATGGGCCTACTCTAGTAGTGATTTACTATGCTAAAGTAAGTTACAGCAGATCCACTTGAATCATTTTAACTTATGGAGGACTTAACTCACCAAATCCCACTGACTCTAGAGCAATCTACTATACTAAGCAACAGGATTTTGACCATTGAATTGTACACTATTGAAAGGTGTGGTAGCATCAAAAAAGGCCAATGCTATTTTAGGTTGCATTACCACAAGTATAATCTCAAATTCTATGAAGTACTAGTCACTCTCTATTTGGCACTGGTTAGTACTCATATTGAGTATTGTGTCCAGTTCTTCAGTTTAAGGAGGATGCCAATAAGCTGGAACAAATTCAGAGGCAGCCAACAAGGATAATTGGAAAAATGGAAACCAAGCCCTATGAGGAAATACTGAAAGAACTGGGCATGTTTAGCCTTGAGAAAAGAAGACTGAGGGGGAATATCATAGTACTTTTCAAATATTTGAAAGGTAATCATGCAGAGAAGGGGCAGAATCTGTTCTCATTCATCCCAGAGTGCAGGACAAGTCATAATGGGCTAACGTTCCAGGATGCCAGATTTTGGCTGAGTATTAGAAAAAACCTCCTGTTAAAGCAGTATGACAATGGAACCAATTGCCTCAGGAGATGGTGAGTGTCATGAATTTGATTATGAAAATTGTAAAAGTAGAATAGAGATGGATTTTGTTTCATAACAGCAACGAAACAACTAGAAGCTGACTGATGTCCAGGTGTTAATTAGGAAGAAAAAATGTACAAGGTCAGTTCTTTTCCAGCAGAAGAAAAAAATTCAAGAAGAACAAGATGACCTTTATCTTATCAAAACTCCAACGGACAAGGACACAACGGCTTAATTTAAGAAAGATGAGCGAAGAGAGAAAAAAGGAAGACGGAGAAGAGAGATGGAAGAGAGTTTGCTTGCACGACAGCCAGAGACGAAACACGGAGAGAGATGCATCTGGCAGAA